GTGCTCAAGTCCAAACTGAAGCCAGGGTCCTCGCTCCTCACACTATGCCACTTCTCTCTGTCACTCAGTGTCCACTCAAGCTGCACAGTGTGGTTATAAATCTCAACTGACATCCTGGGGACTGGATTCATTCTTTCAGAGTGACAAGGGATAAGGGAAACTATGTATGAGCTATAAGTTCAGCTAATAAAATCCTTTTCTGTCTTGTAGAACGTTATGTCAAATGTTTGAATATGATTTATTGACTTGAACTTGGCTCAGTTTCCAGACAAAGGTGGGCTGTAGTTTTTATAATTGCCGCCCTCCTTGGTCAAGGACTCTGGACCACCATTTGCCTCGGTGTCTGAGCCTGCTTTCTGGTACCCCAGCCCCCCATAAGTTTCTCTGTCTCTCAACCATCAGTCTGTGTTGATTAGGTGCTGACTTCCTCTGCAATATCTCTAAGACACTATCAAACTTTCACATTCAGGTTTTCAGCCTCGGTGCTCTCCAGAGAAACCAGAGAACTGGCCTAGCCAAGCTGGGCCCCCTGAGAAGAAAGAGAGGGAGAAGCATCCCCAGAGTCCTCCACTTTCCCACCCTCTGCCCCCACCTTGCTAAGATGTCTCATGCTTTCATTCCCACTGTGCCAGACAGCAAACTTCCTGTTCTCCAAGGATTCTATGAGTCAATGCCACCGGCCTCTTTTCCATTCTTGAAAGGGGACCCTGATTTCACAGGCTGGTGGTGCATTTAGGTTCCTTTGAAGCCCGATTGTGAGCTTGTGTTTTTCAAGATAAAAGTATTTCATTTCCTTGGAGTTCATCCACCACCTTTTGTCTAGCAATTGTTCTGTGAAGCCTTCAGTAAACCAATCTGCTTACACGGGGATGTCGGCATCTGTGAGTGGCTAGGGATATTTCTTTTTATAGGAGCTGAGTGAGAAAATAAATAAATAAAATAAGTGGTTTTTTGTAAAGAGAAGCAGAAGAAAATGAAACAGCCTGGAACGGAGCCTGCCTCTTTTTGTAGTCTGCAACTTCCATATGATTGGCCATTTCATTTCTTGTGGTTGTATACGGGTCGATGGCCACCAAGCTTGTGGAGTGGGAGGGATTAAAAGGGGAAGGAAGTGACGGGGAACGTTGTGGCTCTTACCAGAGTCGAGTAAGACCTGGCAAGAAGGCTCAAATGGGTGGCACTATCCCAGTGTTAGGATTCTTCTCTGGAATTTGGCAATGACGTTTGAGCTGTAATATTGGATTAGAAGCAGGGTGAGCACCAGTTCCTTTTCTTTGACATTTCTCACATTTTAATAGGATAACAAAGCAGAAAAGGATTATGTTAGACACTGGTGTGTTGTCTGGTACATTTTAATTGAAACCAAAGTGCCTGTAGCCACTGTTGGTTTCAGAGGTCTCCAAAAGAAAAAGGACCCCCCTACTTCCCTCACCTCCATCTCTCTCTGCCTGTTCCTTATTCCTGTTGTTCCTTTAGGCACATGTGAAAGCGAACGATTCAAATTATAAAAAGAATGATCACCTAGGCACTGCCTTGGAAAGCTAATTAAAACTACTGCCCTCTGTGTTGTTGGAGATACAAGGAAAAAATGTTCCTGTGGGTTGACTCCTGTTGGCCATTTAAAGACTTCAAAGAGGAGATCTTTTGGGTCACATTTGTCCTGTTTTTCCAAGCCTCTGGAGCAGTGAGTTAACATTCTGCAGTAAGTCCAGTGGTTAATTTGCCAGAGAGAAATGAAACAATATTTTCCATCTTGGGCTATCGCTGTTTTTATGGCCTGGAAGAGGTAGCAGGCTAGTAATTCTTCCTTGGCCAAGGAGGTTTTGAGCCTCTCTGAGTTATTGCCTGGATTCCAGCCATGGCAAAAATGGGGCCACCATGTGCAACTGGCCCTAACTATTGTGGCTGGGTTGGTATCCAATGCCCTGGCTTTCATGAGTTAAATGTCATCTCCCAGACAGCCCTGCTCTTGGAACTTGTCTCTTATTCAGAGCTTGTTCTAAAGCATGGCCCCAGAGAGACAAGTTAACACCAGCAGGTTGGTAGGACCCAGGAGTCTGGGCAGGATGACTTTTCTGTTGATTGTCCCTTTTCATCTGTCAGTTCTCTTTTCTGTGCCAAGGAACATTTAGTTCCTGTGTGCATCGGAGAGAGGCCTCCTGTTTACACTGTTGCATCTTTCCTGGGACCTGATATCCCTGATTCTTTCTCCTCTCCCTCCACCCTGAACTTGGCTGTCTGCTCAGTCTTTCCAAACCTCAGAGGAATGGGGGAGAATTTCCAATGCCAAGTACTGCAAAAATTGTAACTTCATTTTTCTATAAAGGAACCTAATTTTTAGCTCAAACTTCCATTTCCACCTGACTGCCAAACACATAGACTTCTTAAAGTCAGTTAACTTCAGTGTTTTCTCAATTCCCTTCCCCTTCCCCCAGGGTGTATTTCAGGCCTGGGGCTGGGAAGGAGGAACACTTTGCTTGCTGGATGGATGGGTGTCTGGTCTTCCATTTGATTACACTTTGATTTCCAATTTCCTTGTCTGGAGCCTTGGAAACTCAGGCTTTTCACTGAGTCCTTTCTGCCCTGTGTCTCCATGTGCTGCCACTTGTCCCCATTCCACTTTGGCATGCTAATTCTGGGAGTGACACTTGCCACAAGCTCCCAGCAGGGCCCAGGGCTCCTTCTCAGCCACTTTCTCACAGGTCCTAGCCAGGACATTCCATTATTTGGTTTGCAGACTTGGTGGACTTTGGCCCATTTAGTCTTTTTTCACTCTCTAACTTCTACCATCATTTTTCTACTCATTTCCTCTGTATTCCAAAATACTTCTCTAGAAAAAAAAAACCTAGTCTTTCAAGAATAGTGTCTCTAGCTATGAGCTGCAAGAACTTGTTTTGGAACTCAATAATATTTCTCCTGAGGCAATGACTGTCCCTTGGGACCAGGAATGTCACTAAGAGCTCAGAAATCACCCCAGAGTGCCAGCACGAGGTGCCACACTTTAGCCTAGAAACTTTGATGTCTACAGCCTGGTTTTTTTTCTTTTTTTGGCACTGGAGTTTGAACTCAGGTCCTCACACTTGCTAAGCAGGTGCTATACAATTTGAGCCACTCCCTATCCCTTTTTGCTTGTATTATTATTATTATTATTATTATTATTATTTTGGATAGGGTCTTGGGTTTTTGCCTTGGTTGCCTCAGACCATGATCATCCTAACTACAGCCTCTCTTGTAGTTGGGATGACAGGTCCACACCACCATATCTGGCTTATAGATTAAGGTGTGGGGGGGGGTCTCATTAAATTTTTGCTTAGTCTAGCCTTGAATCTTGATCCTCCCAATCTCCACCTCCTGAGTAGCTGGAATTACAGGCATGAGCCATCAGGCCTGACCCTCTCAGCCAGTTTTCTTATACCAGCTCCAGTACAAGGTACACCAAGGATCCGCCTGCCCCACCTGTGGCCTCCCCTCTTACTGATTTCTGCCTCTACATCTTTCCTCAAGGCATTTACTTGCCCGCAATGCCCTCTTCCCACTGTCCCTACCTATTCAGGTCCTCAGCATCTTTAAAAATCTAGTTCATTTACTCAGTCCACACACAACTTTTCTCTGTATTTCCTTCATTTTTTCCCTTGGAAAAAATAATAGAGTTAGTCTTCTCTTATGCCCAGTGTTTAATTGTAGTTTGGGTAGTATCTAAAATTGTTTGCCAATTAAGTATGTTGGTTTTATTTCTAGAAGTCACTTTAAGATCCTTGATGGTAAGCCTGAAGGACTTTCTCACTTATTTCTAGGAATAAGACATCTCTGTCATTCAGCATCTCCCTATTGATTGAATGGATGTGGCCTCGCTGGCTTCCTTTTATGGCAACATTTCCTCTGCATTCCAAACGACCCGTCCCCTAGATCTGGAGACCTCTGCTTGTCAGAGATCCACATATGGACACTTAGAAACACACAGTCACTCATTCACAGTCTCATCATGGATAATCAATCATACTGAGCAGGAAGGCAAGCACATTATCCTTCATTTTGCTCCTTGGCTGTCTTCCTAGGGGACAGCACGTTCAGGATAAAGTTGTTGCATGTTTTAACAAGGCTGCAAGTAGAATGCTAGGGTGTCCATATGATTAATTGTTCAAACCAGGACATGTTGAGAATAAAAGTTACCTAAAAATAACTAACAGGCATTAACTAATCTGTAGCAGATATAATCAGGGCATATTATGTGTTCCTGTACTACCCGTGCAATCAGTGTCTGTCTACTCTGTGTTCACCCCAATTCAACATTCATTCATTAATGCAATAAAATACCCCCAGGCTGGCCCTGCGGACAGCCTTGTGAAGAAGACAAACCCTGCGCTCATGAAACATGTGTTCTAATAAAGGAGGGAGAAAGAAAACCAAGAAACACATAGAAAATGATATCAGGCAGTGACAGGTCTGGAAAGAGAAATAAAGTCTGTTAAGGTGGGGGGGGAGTGAGGTCCTCTTTCTCTCTGAGGGAGGCTAGGGAGTGATCAGGGGCACTGACACTGGGGTGGAAGCAAGCTGGGAAACTGGTAGCAGAAAGACAGAGGCAGTCAGAGGGGTTGCAGATCTCAAGGCTCAGCTTGGACTTTATTCTGAGCAAGATAGGAAGCCATTAGAGGCTTGAGCAAGGGAGGGCTGCAATCTGATTTGGATAATGAACTGTAAGGATGCTAGAACGGGAAAAGGAAACCAGCCTATTGCAACCACCCAAGTGGGAGATGATGGGGGCATGGGCCAGGGTGGAAGCTGTGGTGCTGGGGGTGAGAAGCAAAAGTAGCACCTCTAGGATGTGTGACACATGTGCTGTGGGTGCCCACAGCAGACAAGATCATGCAATGGGACTGACCAGCCCCAGCCTAGCCCTTGGTGCCCTCCAAGGCTCTTTGTCCTTGTGTCTAAAAGTCAGTGCCTGGAATTTGGACATGAGGAACACGCCACTTTGTCCTCTTGGGCAGGAGTGAGCTTACCTTTAGCCCTGTGGTCTTCCTCCTTCGGGCACTTCCCCCCTTCCCACCACTTGCGCTTCAGGATTTCCAGGCGGTTGTTCTCCTGTAGCTGGAGAATGGCCAGGTCAAATTCATCCCGGAACACTGAGCCTGTGGGGTCACAAGAGAGCCCAGGATAGGGTGTGAGTGCTCTCTTAGGCACCACTCAATTCCCCTTCCTGGCACACCTCCTGGCCATTCTGCCTGCTGGAGCTTCAAGAGGGTGGCAGTGCAGCAGGAGAGACCTGGCCCGCAGGACTGCTATCTACCCACTCTGTCTCCTCTTTTGCAGAGACCAGGGCCTCTCGCTTCATGCAGGCTTCTCAGCTCTTCCACTTTCCTTCCTCTGCCCCACTCATGGGCAAGCCCAGCCCATGGCCAGAGATCCCACCATGGATCAAGTAATGGCTTTCCACTATTGGATGGGTACTTTCACCCCATTTTCTAAATTAAATACAGGGCCTATCCAGCCTAAGCCACCTACCACTAATACTCAGGAAGCTAGCTGCAGAGCTGCTCACCTGCCTCCAGGAGGCCATAGTTTCTGTTTCTGTGATGCAAACTTCTCAGTCAGTTGTCCAGGGCCTACTTCACTTTAATTTCTCAGACTGTCACTACATTACACTCAACAAAGAGTAGCCACCAACCAGTGGGAGAAGAGCTGCCCAGAGCATGACAGAGCCTGGCATAGTGGTTCATGTCTTTGCGGGAGGCATAGATAGGAGGATCACGGTCTGAGGCTGGTCCTGGGTGAAAACACAAGGCCCTGTCTGAAAAATAACTAAAGCAAAAAGGGCTAGGGGTGTGGCTTAATTGGTAGAGTTCAAAACCCAGTCCACCACCAAAAGAAAGAGAGAGAGAGACAGAGAGCAAGAGAGAGAGAGAGAGAGAGAGAGAGAAGGAAGGAAGGAAAGAAGAAAGAGAAAAACAGAAAGAAAGAGAAAGAAGGAAGGAAGGAAGGAAGGAAAGAAAGAAGAAAAGGAAAGGAAGAGCTTCTTTTCATCCATTCTCATGGAGGTGTCCCTGCCCCCTGTGCTCCCTCTTCCCCTTCAATAGAAGGTTTCTCTCTGTTCAGTGTGATTCTTTAAAACTTTTTCTGATGGAATATGGTTAAGGAGCTTTGGTTCTAGAATTAAGGTTTAATCACAAAAACAGGCTTAAGTGAAACTGGGGAAAAGCTGAATTTCCCACAACAGGCTGAGGCCCGAGCTCATTAAGAAACAGCTGCCAAGAGACTGGAAAAACCACTTGGCTGCCGGGTTCCCTGTCCAAGCCCTACCAAGGTCTGGTGTGAACAGATGCCTCAGAGGAAAAGGCTGTGGTGGAGGATCCAGGTAGAGGCTTGGAACAAACTGACAGATAATTGTTCCTCACATTTGAATGTGCATTGGGACCACCCAAAGATTTTGTTGAACTGCAGATTCTGTCTCAGTAGGTTTGGGGTGGGGCTTGAGGCTCTGCATTTTCAACAAGTTCCAAGGTGGTTGTCCAGGTTGCAGCAGGACTATAGTGTAGAACGTACTCTACTGCTATTGACACAACTGTGCTTGGGCACACATGTGCCAAGCCTGCAGCACTGAATGCATCTGAGATGGGTGAGGACATCCACTGAGTCTCATGTAGAGTAGGTGCCTAATGCACCCCTGAAGTGAACGGATGCATGAATAATTTGCCTAACAATGTGGCTAGGTATTATCATAAGAATGTTCCAGATTTAGAGACAAGTGTCCGGCCCTGCAGAGCACTTCAAGGCATTTTCAACTTAGTATCATAGCATACCAGGGACCTTGTGGAAAGTTACTTTCTTAGCTCCTAAACCACCTGATTAATTTTCTATCTGTTCCTTATTCTGATTCTCTTCATTGTTCTGGGCCAACCACCTTGCTTATTCTGTGAGTTATGTTCTTACATCTCACTTAAGAATGGTACATAGGCACAACCTCAAGTAAGCTAAATCCTGCCTCCTAATGACTGTGTGATGTTCTTTCCACCCTCTCCTGAGACCTTGGGCCAGCCCACAGCATGCCTTCTCTTCTATCCCACCCTGTCTAGCTGATGGGTCTCCTTTAGCAACTTGGTCTGGTCAGTGAAGATCTAGATTTGGAGACAGGCATTCCAGGCTCAAGTCAGCTTCTCTATCCATTCTGTGACCTTGGGCAAGTACCTATCTGCTCAGAATCTCAGTTCTGTCCTCTACAGAATAGGAATAACCCCTTGTTTCTTTTAGGTGGGACCAGTGAGTGAGATTACATTTGTGAAAAGAGAATCATGTCAGATACAGGACAAATGCATTTCTCTCTATTTTCTGGAATTGGTCTGTTTTACCTCAACTATATCTAGTCAAGTTCCTCATGAAACTTTTGAAGCACTTGACATTTAGATTAAATTTATTTCATCACTGGAGTATTACCAAGGTACACCCTAAGTTCATTTCATGGTTCACTCCACCATCTTAAAAGAAAATGTCAACCAATGAGAGCAAAGGAGCGCATATCTACAATATTAATGGACATTGATAAAATATGACAGTAAATAGAAGATGTGCAGGCTTAGGAGTGTGCTGAGAGAGGCCTCCAGTTTACAGAATTGCTAGTGTCAGAATCCACAGAGTCCAAGTATGAGCCCTTTAATTGCCTATGTTCATTTGCTTGGCTTCTGATCAATATTTAAGAAGTCATCTACTTTTCATCGACAACATAGGGAACTATGGGGAAGGAACCAATATTCCCCAAGGCAGGGTAAGACAGAGACCCTGAGGGAAGAACCAGACCAAGTTATGATGATCAGGTTTAACCTTCACAGTAACTCCATGAATAGGTTTGAAAAAGCTAATTTTACTAATGGGATAACTAAGGTTTGGAGAAGTTAAAGAACCTATGAAAGGGAACTCGGCCAGTAACCAGGATGCATGTCCAGGTCTGCCTGACTCTAACACCATTACACTCCACAGGTGTAAGAGAATCCTGTAACCTATAGAGCTTTGTGGCAGGGAAAGATCAATAGAAGGGCTATGTAAAATAACTTACGGAGATGTGCATTCTATGTAGCAATTTTCTCACATGGTCCGATGGCCTCAATTCCTACTTCCTCTCTGGGTGCCTTGTTCAAGAACACCCTTGTACAAGGATAACACTATACAGTGACTCTCAGTGGTGTTATGTGTGGGGAAGAGTTCATATCAGAATCACCTGGGGAACATGTTCAGACCCATCCACAATCATAACAGCAGCCAATATGTCCCCCTCATCTTCTTGGAAGCACTACCAGCAGAGGAAGGCCCAAAGTGTGAATGTCCTTTAAAAGCACAGCTGGGATACCTTTTCAGAAGCCACACCTCTACCCTCTTGTAACAAAACCAGATGACACCCAGTCAGCAGGCTGCACACCAGAGCTTTACTGCCTGTTCTCAATTACCCCAGCTAACTTGGAGGAGATGGATTAGTGAAATCCACAAATAATTTGAAAGTCATCTCATCTGATGGTGGGAGTAAACTTTTCACCAGGGACACTAACAAAGAGAAAAATTAATTCATTCATTTGTTACTACCTATTCCTTCTTCCCATTGCTAGTAAAGATGCCAATCAACAGAGAAATGGCCAAGGGACTGAAAGAGACAGAAGGAACAAAAGGCCTAAAGTATCCACCAAGGGCATCAACATGCCCTTTAATAATTAGAATTAGTCTTTAATAGTAATGACATAGCTAATCAACTAGCTCTTTAATAATTATAGGTTGGGCACTGATTACTAATTAATGGAAGTATATGGGTTTGCTTTTTTTTTTTTTTTTTTACCTTAAGAATGCTCAATTCAGGGTAACAGCAAGGGGAATGTCTCCCAGTTGCTCACAAAGTGAATTGAGCAATCTGCTTATACAGCCAGAAGGGGGAGGAGACAGGGGTGTCTGTACCAATCACAATAGTCCCCTCATGTTTCTACCAATTATAGTTCACCCCATTGTGCAAAGGAACAATTGTGTTTGAGCCAATCACAGGCCTTCTGTTGGGCTAAAGTACCCCTCTCCCTCTGGCCTGGATGGAAGCAGAAGTTATGGCAGTTGGTCTTCTTTTGAACCAAAGTGCCTCTCAAGAGGATGCTTACAACAAAAGCTTATCAGTAACAGGACCTTAACAATATATTTCACACACAAAGAAATAAACTTTCAAAGGGTACTTACAAAAAGCAAAAACAGATATCCACTTAAAGTCACTATTAAACTGGTTCTAGAAATAGGGGTTATTGAATTCAATCCTGTGTTCAGTGGTATTAAATACCCTGACCCTGCCTGGAGGAAACTACCCCAAGAGGCTGTTCCTCTCCTGCATACCGACTGGCATGCCAATCCCATAGCCCTTGGTGTCCAGCAGGCCCCCAATCTGAGTGAGGTTGCAGTTTCGCTGCCGATAGTACTCATTCATGGTGGACTCCAGCAGGAAGGCATAGTTGGAATTCAACACCCTGGCGATTCCCTCCTCTGTGCTCTTCACAAACACACTTGGCTGCTTCGAATACATGTAATTCCACATACGTTGGTAGGTCTGGTAGCGGGAGTTCTGGGGAGAGAACAGAAGGAAGCAGGATTGGGAAAAGAGAAAGGAAGTGTTGACTTAAAGGAGGGGGAATCAATGCCTTAAAATGTTGAACCTTCTGTCTCTCTATTTTCCCCTTCCATCTCTCAATTCAAGCTCACTGCTATTGGGTAATGGTGGAGGTGGGACTGTGCCTTTTACAGAAGACGATGAAGCCACAGGGTCCAAAGGCACTGTGAATTACTACTAGTTTGATCATTAGTTCTGCCTCATTTATCCTAGAGAGGTCTTCCATTGACAACTTTCATTTTCTCGTAAAAGAATAGACATTCTGGTTGTCTTTTCATTGTCCCTCAATTTGGGGCAGAAAACTCAGGCTCATTTAGGACATAACTCATGTATAAATAGGGACCTGAAGAAGCAGTGTAGCTGTTTTCTATTCACCCTAAGCCAATGTATCAGTCACACATTCAGTGTTGGCTTCTGTTTCACCAATAATAATAAGACAGAGAATTCAGGGGTCTATCCAAACTCTGTTTGCGTGAAGTCTTCCCTGGTCTCTGTGCCATCAGGAATTGAGACTTGTTATGTAAAACAGAAAACTGAAGGCCTTAGGCTTGTTTCATATGAAAATGAGCTTCTTGGATGTTAGGTTGGTTAGACACCTATGAGCCTCAGGGGAAATCTGTTTCCCTAGAAATCTTGAAGCATAGGAAAACTACTATTCTGTATGGCCTGGTTCTGTCAGCCTTGGTGATCAATCAGCTTGTCCGTCAGCAAACACACTCTTATTGTGGCAGGGTATTCTTCTGAGCCTTGAAAGAGAATCCTAAAAGAAGTCAAGACGGGCTCTATCTCAGATCCATGACACCAATTCATCTTAATCTAGCGTTTCTCAAACCTCAGTCATTTGTATATTATTTTAATCTTGCTTTGTCTAAGAATTACTTATAAAATCTAACTCACTTCTCAAAATTTAGATGCACACACTAGCCCCATCCTATGCAGTAATGCAAATAAAATTACAGGTCTGATTCACAAGGAATGCACACACACACAAACACACACACACGCACACACGTACACATTCTAATGTATATAAAATAAACATGAACCTATTGCAATCAAAAAAGAGTTCCACCAAATTAAACCTAAAACCACCTCAAGGTTCATAATACAATTGCTCATATACAACCCTTTGGAATGGGCTGATTTAAACCCAAAGTCCTGTTGGGACCTCATTCTGGGGATATTTTAAGGAACATGAGAAAACCGAGCCCCGTGTGGGTCTCCAACTAGATGTTCAAAAGAGAGGATGAAATGAGGAGAGATGTTTTTATCTGCAGTGGACAAACATCTCAACTTCATTCTGCCCAACCCCCAATGTCAGCAATCACATGGGGTTTACTTGGAAGAAGGTCATGCTGGAGCCTCCGTGAATCGTGCCGTACTCAATGGCGGTCTGGTCGGCCAGGTCGTCCACTGACTCAATGGGCACATCCATACGCTGCACAGTCAGGAAGGCTGCCAGGTTGGCCGTGTAGGATGAGATGATGATCAGCGTGAATGCCCACCTATGCAGGAAAAGATCAGGAAGTGATCATTGCCAGGAGGCTTGGCCTCCAAACCCAGTCCTGTTACCACAGAGGAGAGACCAGATGTCTTTCTTTTGAAGGAGTTCTTAATTTAGTGGGGAAGGAGAAAGAATGCAGGACGTATGATGTCAAGAGAAATGAATCAAGTTTGTGAGTGTCGTCTGAAAGCAGACAATTGATTTTTGCCCCAATCTCTGAAAGGAGGTGGTTATTGGTTGCTATTCCAAAGATGTGTGGCCCATGCACATGAGATAGTTTGGGGGAAAATAAATGAGTGAATGAGTTAAGGGTGGCAGCTCTGAGGGCTCTGTTCAGAGCTGGAACTGGGCTCAGCCCTCTGCCTCCTCATGCTTAAGCCAGCCTTCAGATGCACATGACCATGTACTGAGCCCCTCCATGAGCTGAACCCACTGCTTCACATAATCCCCACAACTCAGGGAGGCAAACCTCCTATCCCAATTTTACAGGTGAGGAACTGAAGTTCAGAGAAGTGCAGAAACTTCCCAAGTAAGACATTAACAAAATTGTATTTTAGAACCAATTCTATAAATCTCAATAGCAGAAAACTGGTTAAAAAAACGCCCTTCAACTGCTAAAAAGTTGAATTTGAAAATACTCTGACAATGGTTAAACTTGATTGCTTTATTGAGCATCTAGAACTCATTTAAAATTAGAATCATTTTGCAACGCAAACAGCATATATGCTAAAGCCATTAACAACGGTTGGTTCACTTTGGTAGGTTAAGCAAGCTCTTCCTACCTGATCAACAGTGGATTTACATTCAGATCTCTTTGTGTATAGGAGGTGGTAATTCTAAGCACAAATCACATTGAAGAATCACAAATTCCCAATCAGTAGGGCCTGAAATCATGAGGTTTTACCCATTATGAAGTTGATGCCAGCTAATGTATAGCAGCAGGCAGACACCAGGTGGATTTTTAAGAACAAAGTCCTATTGCCCCTTTTTGCCACGTCCCCAAGAGCTCCTGCTGACTGCCATCACAGGGGTGAAGTGACAACAGAATCTGCCAACTTAAACGGGACATCTATCTACCAGACCACCAGGGAAGTGAACTGGTTTTTAGTTCTGGTCATACTCCATGTATGAAACGGTGGGAAAAATCACTGGCCTTCTCTGAGCTCATTGCCAAAAAAACAAAGGGCATACTAATGCCTGCTCTGTTTATTTTTGGAGATTTGTGAGAGAAAATGAGGTAGTATTTATTACTGATCAGTAATCTAGAAAGGAGTAGATGAATGTGAGACCCTCACTCTGAATATGGGATGGAAATCACTTGGTCACTTCCTTACAGCTGTTCCCATTTCTGACACCTCCCCCTGCTCACCACCTGTTCATGTTGGCTCTGTTGGAAGTTGTTTCACAAGACTTTCCCCCAGGAGTACCCTGCGTTCTGCAGCTGCTTAGCTGTGCTGGTGAGAGCCTGGGGTTAATGAGCCCTGAGTGTGGACATAATCTTGGAGTTGGCTGGGGGGTTCTCCCAATCTCATGGCTCCCTCTGGTGCCTACCTGTTCCACCCTGGGCAGCATGTGCCTGTTTAGGCCCCTGGTCACAAAGGCAGAGGTCAGAGAGCCTAGGTGGCTCAGTGCCAGCCCATTGCCTCTGCTGTGAAAGCAAATGATGACCATGCTGTCTCAGATGGGTCAGGAGAGTCTTGCTCCTGTACAGCTGGCATTCTTGTGAGCAACGCAAGAGTTTCTGTTATTTGCTCTAGGTAAGGAGGCCAAGGTAGGTCATGATGACCCTGTCTTCTGACTGTCAGTACTCAGGGAACTGAGACCCCAATTTAATCACTAAGAACTCCAAGAGGCAGAGGGAACACTGACAATTCAGGTGAGGGTCTGGGGAGGGTCCCTCATGGTGGTGCCTCTTTTGTGATGAGCACCCTTCTCCCTTTTTCCACAGGTTCTGGAACAAAGTAACCAAACCAACTCAGATCAGCTATTTAGAGTAGAGCACTATATGACATACACCTCCGAAGCTCTCTGATGAGGGATTATTCCAAGATGGGATGGGGGAGCTAACAGGTGGATGAAGCAGGCTGTATGCTGCACTGTACCAATGGCAAAGCACACCTTCTGGAAGGGACACCCTCAGGGACAATGAGATCAGCATCCTCAGCTGATGAATGCTCACCTCCCAGGGCTTCTGCACAGGTGTCCTGGATTTTGAGGCAGCTCTGTGCCTGTCCATGCCAAGATTATCCCCTTTTCCTTAGGACATGAGCATCCCATTTCAATCTATTCTGTAGTGACTTCTCAGCAATATCTGGTAATAGGTAAACAACTTGCCCAAGTGTTTTCAATCCTACAGTATTTATTGTTTATCAGGGAAAATGAGAACTCTAGACTGGAAGATGTACCACTGTCCCAGTCACTAGCCCCAGCTTCAGCAGTTTCTCTGAGCAGACCAACCCTGACCCAGCCACCAGTACCTTAAGATGGAAACACCACTTTTCCTTCTCCTCTAAAAGCTATAAGCCTTAACTGCTATGGCAGCCAAACCTACAAACTTGCCTCTCTAGGCTGTTTATATCTTTTTATTCTCCCATAGTAATCTAATAAAAAATATTAGTCCATACATTTGTAGAGTACTTTCAAGTTTTCAAAGAGCTCTCCCATCTAACCAGTCATTTATCCATCTGTGAGAGTCTAAGAGTTTGCACTTGTCACACATACTGAGGTGGAGAGACCTGGTGAGCCAGGCACAGGAGGACAAGCCTGAGAAAGCCTGGACAGGAGGCTTGCTATGGCAGCCTCCTCCTTCAGGGAACACCCCCAAACCCACAGTCTCGTATTTGCATAAATCTGCATATTCAAATGATCTGAGTGGTCCAGTCATTCAACCTCAGTCATTTTCAGGCCAGGAAGTTATCTTTGCTTAGCTGTGGGTAGTCAAGGCTGTTTCCTTGATTCGTCTTCCTTTTTGCCTTGGCTCTGCTCTGTAGCCAGACCCCAGTGGCAGAGCAAGGGGAAAGTTGGGTCCTGTTTGCTGCCCCCAACATTCTGAGCTGGAAGAAGGCACCTCTTCTCCTGCTAAGGTCTGCTGTGAAAGGTAGAGGCATGGCACTCTCCTGTAGGGCTGTGAAGGTTCCTGTTAGCCAGCAACCCAGGCTGGGTTTATTGAGAGCCCCCATGGGTCCCCATGTGGCCTGGTCCCACCACCCCTTTGGTCCCAGCCCTGACTCATCCTGGGACCTTACCAGACGCCACTGACACAGCGGGTGGATAAGGCGCGAGGGGCAATGGTGGAGCCCTGCTGCATGAAGCCCCCAACTGGAAACCAGAGGCTGTTGCCCAGGGAGTACTGGTTTACCAGGAGGTTGCACCGGCCCTGTGCACATGGGTGTGGGCTGTACCATTCATATGGCGTCAACCTGTGAGAGAAAAGGAACATACTTTGGTGATGGGGTGATGGGCACAAGGAAAGAGGCGAGAGAGAGAGCTCTCTTTCTTGGTCTTTCTCTGTGCCTCAGTGGTTGGTCTTGTGGCTGGTTTCCTTTGCCGGACCTGGATTTCTCCCAACCAAAAAAGGAAGGGGGGGGGCGCTAATCAAATAAACACTTTTTTCCCTTGTGAATTCTAATGTGGAACTCCAATTTCAAAATAGATAACAGTGGAGCCCCATGATTGGAAACAGGGAGTGTTGGGGGCTGGGGGCCAGCCTGTGAAGTGGATTGTTTGTCTACCCTGAGTTCCCAAAGTGATCAGGGAGGGACCCTAAGGGTCCACAGAACCTTCAGCCTAGTTCTGTAGTTCTTAACCTTCGGGCTACATCAGACTCACCAAGAAAGCCTTGTTAGCATGCAAACTCCAGGTCCCACTCTTACAGCTTCTGAGTCAGTAAGTCCAGGTAAGGCCTGAGAATCTGCATGTTCCCAGGAGATGGCAATGATGCTGGTTCAGTGTCTACACTGAGAGCCACCAGCTCACACTACTGAGATGCAGATTCCCAGGTTTAGGCCCTAGTGAAGTAAAGACACTGGGACCTGGGAAATTGAAATGTTTAAGAGCTCCCTGTGCAACTCTGATGATTGCCTCTCTTGGGAATGGCTATGTGAGATCTGTAGTTTCAAGCATTTTTCTTCTCCAAAATCTCACCCAGAAGTATGATGTTTAAGAGATAAAACTAGAGCTGGTCTGGGGCCCCAGAGCTCTTGCTGTCCCTCACAGTCTCTGGTAGCTTCCAGGAACCTTTGCACTGAACCCTGTTTGTAAGCTACTACCTTAGACAGTAGTCCTGGGCTTAGATATCTTGTGTGTGTGCATGCACACGTGATAACCAAGCCCTTTTCCAGCTCTGGGGGTGGCCTGAGAGCTGTTCCATGCCCCACACAGCTCAGCCTCAGGGGCCAGAGCAAATTTCAGAGCAGTGGAGTTGGGCTCACTCAGACAGCTTCCTGAAAGCAGCAGCAGACAGCGCTGCGAAGTGGAGAGCAGAAGTGTCAGACAGCATGCAGCTCCCGCGCCTCACCAGCTGTCACTGACAACAGATACTTGACAGTGGCAATGCTATTGGGCCCAAGAGGGGTAGATGGCACCCGAGTAGCAAACTTAGCGCTTTTGTAGACTACTGGGTGTTAAGCAAGGCCATTCTTTGTTAGGTTGGACATTGTGGGCTGCAAATGACTTTCCTCATCTTGGCCTTGATCTTAAATGGAAGAGGCATGGTCAGGGTCACGCAGTCCCTCTTGGGCAAGATGGAAACTGCTTCAGGGAGTTAGGCACCCTGAGGTTCCTCAGATCTTAGGACTCTGCTGCTTCATCCTAAGAGGAGACAATATGTGCTCCCTTTATCCATGAAGGAACATGCCCTTGGGGACACACCACAGAGAGGGGACTTGGGCTATGGGATCATCTGCCCTGCCACTGTGACCTGGAGGCATAGAGGACAACTGAGAGGTCAGTTGCAACAGAGCCTCTGACAGGTTTCTAGAAACTCATTCTGAACTGCCCCTGCTTTCACCTCCACTGCAGTAAGTAAGGATTTGAGCAAGTGGCCTGGGAGCCACTAGGGCTCATTCCACTTCTGGGGAATAAGACAGCTGTCCTGAAGCCCAGGCTGGCCCAAAGCCTGTAGGCTCAGAGAGAAACAAACCCCACTGTGAGACCACAGTCTGGGGATGCTCCCGGGGTTCTTCCATAGGGCCTCTGGCTTCTGAGGATATGGGAAGCTTATTTTCCCCAACCCCAGCTCTCGATCATTTATCTCAACTTAACACTGCTTGCAAACGTGTCTCTCCATCCTGCCCTCTTGCCATCTGCCACCTCCATGGTCTTATTCAACAAGACAGCTGTATTTTCAGATCCAGGCTCTGCAGAGGAGCACTCTCCCTGGCCAGTGTCACTGCTGCCTCCAGTCCCATTCACATCTCCCCCCGTCTTGCTGGATTTGCAGGCTCTGTTTCTTGTCATTCAGCACTTTGTGGCAGATCCTGGCAAGGACTGATGCCAGGGCAGCCAAATGCACAGTGCTTAATCACAGTGATCTTCCTGCCACCTCCTCCCTTCCTCTCTTTCCCAAGGCTCCTATAGAAGGTGGGAGCCAGAGACCAGGAGGGGGCAAGAGGCAGGGGTGCAGGTACAAATCCAGATGAGCTCACCTGGGCTACGCACTTTAGGGAACACACGGATAGATGAGTGGTCGGGTAGTGTGAGGTTGACAGCTGGGCAGAGAGCATTTCAGTCCCTGGACTCCCTCCCCCATTCCTCCAGCTTGGCACCAAGGTCTTCTCAACTGCCCTTGCCTCCTCCTACCCCAGCTCCATGCAGTTTCCAGAGGTGGACACAAGGTGGCGGTGTGAGGACAGAGAAGGGAAGTGGAGAGTACCGTGCCACAAGGAAGAGGACGCAGCTGACAGCCAGATAGGCTAGAAGCATGAAGAGCCAGACTCCTGGAGAAAAGGGGTCCAAGAAGGAGAAATAGCCGGGTCTTCGTCCCTGGAAATGGAAATGAAAACAAGATTCACCATACACGGTCACTGCACAGTGACCTTGGGCAGGGTAGGGCAGGGCAGGGCAGAGGGTATGTGAGTGTGCGTCTGGCCCCATATTGCATTGTTTTGTGTTCTGGTTGGTTTAAATGCTGCTGGGGATGAAGGCGTAATGGGAGCTGCTCCAAAATACCTTCCCAATCCTGATTTCATAGAACAACAATATGGGAGAATCACTTCCTAGGATGAGGGAAGCTGTGCTGGGCAAGTGGACCAGCTCTTGATCCCTGATGTGTCACCCCAGGTCCTCAGGGGTGGCATGGATGGGCTCAGGAGCACCTTTGAGCTGCTGATGTCTGCAGTGCTGGAGTCTGACCTCCTCACCCCTCTTCAATACTGTATCTTTCTTGTGAGAGTGCTAACACAACAGGCATCCTTGGCTTTTTGCTGGCAGAGTGATTTCACATACAGTGAGACCTTATTAGTAAACCTTGAAATGTTCCTGGAAGGACCATTCAAAATGGAAAAGGCTACAGTTTTTGATCTTAGAAATTCAGGAAGTCCATGGAGAGAACTGGAAATCAGTATTAAGCTTGGGCGCTCTATGAACAGCAAGGCCTTCAAGCTTAAGATTGTATCAGTCATGACACAATCTACTATCAATATCCAGATATGCCGTTTTTACACTGGGGTCCTCAGAAACAAAAATGGAAACCATTTATGCCATGATTGTGCTAAACCCAATCAGCTCTCTGAACTTGCACTAGTCACAGAAGGCTAGAAGAAGTCAAGAAAATCCAGGTACCAACATCTGTTCCCATGGCCACAAGTGTAACAGATGGAAAGAGACAGTTCTACATGGTCCTCTGTGTTCGCACAGCCCCAGTCCTGGGTGATTTTCCCCTGCTGTTTTGGATGGTTTTCTGTTCCTTCTCAATAGGCACATTCCTGATCCACCTGTGGGGCAGTTTTACTTCTCCCTTTGGGACCACAGCCCAAAGGGAAAGAAGGCACAAAGGAGGCCAGTAGCTCACCCCCTGCCAATGGGGCAGACATTTGTGGACCTCTCAGGCAGTCTCTCTGAAATGTTTCCTTTCACAATAGGGCTTGGGCCAGGGAACAGCTCACTGACACCAGTTGCAAGTATCTTCCTTGTGGTGCACGCATGCCTGATCTTCCCAGAATACATGAGTTCTGTCATTTATTGGGAAAATGAAAGTATTTGAGGGACAAAGCCCAGTAACCAAGAGAAGGGAACAGGGGAGGAATAGGGAGAAGACTTGTGAGCAAGTCTGGACCCATTAGTATGTAAATCTTTCAACAGGAAGCAAAGGACTTAAGGGCAGCAGGATTAGAGCCCCTAGCTGGTTGTCCCAGTGTCCATCGCAGGGTGACCTTGTCCATCTGCACCATCTCAACAGCCAGTGGCAGACAAAGGAAGGCATGGGATGTGCAGAACCCATACACAGAGTCTGGAAGGGGACAAAGGAGCCATTCCTACCTACACTCCTATGGTAGCAGAAATTACTAGCTTGGTCCACTCCCGAGGTTCCCATTTACCTCAGACTTTCTCTGGGCAAATGTACATGAATTCAATGTCCCCTGTCTCTTAGAACTATTTTACTCTGTGTCTCGCAATTGATAGATATCCAGGAGAAAAAAAATGTTTTATTGTTGCTTTCTGAATCTGAAACCCCATTAGATGTTCAATGTTGGAAATCTATACCTGATTATATCACAATGAGTGAAATTGAAGAAAATGACAGCACTATTTAAAGCTGCCATATTTGGTTATGGGTGATAAGGAATGATGCATAACTGTGGGAAAAATTCTTGGAGACGGGTTATAAAACATAGAACATCACACAAACAAGGACCAAGACATAAACACAGCTCCACTAGAAAACTATCTGTCACATCGGCAAGGCAACATCTGATTCCACATGTGATTTGCTGACGCTAACCAGAAGAACAAGGGCTAGCCAGTCATTTGAGATTTGGGTCTTGGTTTATGCAGCCTTGCCTTAGGTTGAGATGATGCCAAGGAGAATCTTCCTTGCAAGATTCTGAATGCTAACATTTTTCCTATGCGGATGCATTAGATTGCTTCCTTCCCAAAGGACACCCGAATTACTGGCACTTGGAGCAAATCAGGTGTCATATGCCATGGGCATTTCTTCTAAATAACAGCTTTTCCAGAATCCAAAGGATGTATGATGGTGCTGCTTCTTTTCTGAAGAGCTCAAAGTGCTTTGCTATGTTCTCTTGATTTCAACACCCAATTTTCCATGCTGACAGATGGAAAACTGAGACCCAGGGAGGTTAAATGCCTCACTCAAATCACTGGTGATGGCTTCAATTTCTCTGGTGCTCATTCATCAAGATGTGCCATGGGCATGGCATACTCCTGCATTCCAATGGCAGCTGTACCAAATCTTCCTCTCCTTTTAATGTTCGCAAGTTACTCTAATAAACTCCCTCATTAATCCCATGCCTTCTCCCCAATGCCCACAGAATCCGAAACTACTCCATCTTACCCCCTTAAAGTACTCGTAAATGTTATTTATTTACCTTCATAATCATTTACTGTGACTCTGTTGTATTTATAGGCATTTGTATTGATTTATACAATCAATATAACAACTGCTGACTACAAGTTGGGCCAGTTCCTTCTGGTGAATGCAACCATTTTGAAAGTAGATAAGTGGTATTTTATACATGTCTATATATAGAGATAGATATAGATCTATGCCCCAAATGTCAAGAACAGGTCAAGCCCTGCCGATGGAACAAAAAAATTAGATGGCAGTAAAATTAGAATGGGTTCCCTTAGCTTTTGGTGTGTGCTTCAGCTGATCACATCAGAGTCAGCATCCTTGATGCTCTGTTTTGACAGGCGAGACCCAAAGGACTGGCCACCAGCTGGAGTGTTGAGGTCCTTTGAATGACAACAGTGTAGCAGTATAGCTTCCCTTAGAGCTATGATGTGGCACTAAACTTACATGTCAAGAATTCCTCTTATCTTTAAAAAATAAGCTTGTTAATTCAAGGAGACTTCACTGCATTTGTCCTGGAAGAAATGGTATTACAGTTCGATTGCAATTGCTTTTCCAGAATCTGGAGCCAAATGAATGGGACAATAGAGTCAGGTAATGCAGATAGGAGGTGAGTTAAAACACAGACTCTGGAGCCAGACTGCTTAGGGTTGAATCCTGGCTCTAACCAATTACAAGTTGTTTGATGCTAGACAAGTTACTTAACCTCTAGGTCTGTTTCCTCTTTTGTAATATGGGGGGATAGAGCCTGCATCGCAGCACTGTGTTGAGGACTGAATATGTTGGCATGTAGTTAAGACTAGGAGTGTGTCTGCTCCCCTTCTGTCTAATGACAGCAATGAGTGAAGGAGAAGAAGGAATGATATATGAGAGAAGGAGCTTGCTTTTATGCTGATACTTTCCCCATTGGCTAAGAAATACTGCTTTCCATCCCATGGTGACACACACACTGTGGGATGATATGATGTTTGGAGTGGTGGGGGGTGAATTCCAGATACTTCTGGAGTTTGTATGGGTTATAATACATGAAGCAGGAGGCTACTCCCCCTGTCCCGCCCCGCCCACAGACTCTGCCAGGAAGCAATTAGGGCATTCCCAGACTTCATTCTGAAAGGACGGTTTTTAGAAACCAGTGGTTCCAATCTTCAGAACTTGTTTCCACCTCAGCTTTCCCCCAAAAAAATCACCATCAAAGAGGACCAGATAAGCAGCAGTTTCTCCTGGATCTGTGTGAGGGATTTGTACTCTCATCATCATTTCCCAACACACAAACTTCCTTCCTTTTACCTCATCCCTGCCTTACAATATCAATGACAAAGGGTTGTCATGTCCAGAACTAAATGGCAATTTATAGAGGTTTCTTTTCAGATGGTCCATTGCCAGCAGTGGTCAGAGGTCAATGGAACACTCACTGGGGCTGAAGGGAGAGAAAACAGTCTTTTTTTCTGTGACTCCTTTTGAGAGAGTAAGAAGGAGGTGAGCTCTTCCTATTCCACCTCAGCCCCACAGGCAGACTCCCACGAACATCTGCAATGAGTTGTCTTGCAGATTTTGGCTTAGCATACACTCCACCTCTGACTCCAAGAGGAAAAGGAAGCAAGCAATTAGCTCCTCTCCACATAAAACACCCAGATGGTTTGTTGCCTATATAACCCGTATGTTAGCATATGTACTTCCACTCCGCTGGCTGGAAGTCTGGTGTGAGGAAATCCAAGTTCTTATCTTGGCACTGACCTTGACTTGCTGAATAGCCGTAGGCAAGCCATTCAACATCTCTGGGTACCATTTTCTTTTCGCCTATAAAATGGAGCACCACAATCCACATGAAGAGTAAATGTGAGAATTACTGAAATAATGTTGATAAGACACCTTGAGTTTCTTGAGAGAAGCACTCAATAAATAACCAATATTAAAATGATTATACATTCAGGGATTCATATTTCCAGTAGATGGGCTATCATGTTACTTAGCTTTAAGGAATAGAACTCTATTCATTTTCTATTTCTTTATAACAGTATTAAGCAGTATTAGAAATGATTCACTGGTTTATTTAGCACTGTTCTCTATTTTCCTAGACAGTCTTTCTGAAATGAAACAGTCCTTTTTGAAATACAAGTAATATATCCAGCAAATGCTGTACATTAATTTAATGTTGGCATTTTCTTCTCTCTCACTTTTTAATCACTATCTTTTTTTAAATTTTTCTTGAGAGAGAAGACTCCACCTGAGAAGAGAAAAATGAAATGTTTCCATTTGTTCATCAAAAGTGGATCATGACAGTATAGAGGGAAAATGGTAAGCTCACATTTTCCAGGGAGTCTCAGGTGCTCTGGTTCAGGGCCCTACATGGGCTCATAATACCATCTTCAGATAGGAAAGGATCTGGAAAGATTATCTAATGCGTGGCCTTGACTCTGAGAAAAAATATTCTTACTATACCATGAAGTCAGGC